ATAAATAAATATATATATAAATAAATAAATAAATAAATAAATAAATAAATATAAATAAATATAAATACACACACACACAAAGAAATTTAAGGGTGGAAAACTAGGGGTAAGAAAAGACTAAAGCTGGGCATGGTGGCACACTTCCTCAATCCCAGCACTTGGGAGGCAGAGCCGGCAGAGATCTCTGTGAGCTCGAGGCCAGCCTGGTCCACCCAGGAAGCTTCAGGCCCCAGGGGTCACAGGAAGACCCTGTCCCAAAAATACCAAAGGGGGAAAAAAAATCAAAGGCCAAAGGATTTGCCAACATGGGGTCAATCTTGGTGAAATAATAAAGGTTTCCATTATCTCTGTTCTTTTTTTTTTTTGAAATCCTAACTAGTTTATTGGCTTGCTAACAGAGCATAGGGTGGGGATTTATTTACAGAAGAGTGAGTGCTCACCCATTTAAGGTTGCACTGGAAATTCTACACTCAAATATAGATCCTGTCACTTCCCAACAGCTTCACAAAATGGTGAGAGAGGTCCCTCCTTCTCAGTTTATATATCCTTAGCCCCTCCCCCACATGCAGCTAAGGTTGACTGATTGGGTGGGAGGGGTAATTGACTCCTCCCTCAACTCCTTGATGAGCATGGGAAGGAGGTGTGACTATAGCTTGCTGGCATAGTGGTCTGAGGACACTCCCAGTTAACACTCTACCCCTTCCTCCGGCTCTTACATTCTTTCTGCCATCCTCTTCCTCAAAAGTCCCTGAGCCTTGGAGGGGTGGTAGGTGTGGGATAATCTTCTGCCCATTGTGGCAAGGCACTGAACTTTTGGGTCTCTGCAGTGTCAGTTTTCCATGGACTGTTGGTCCATTTCAGAAGGATTCCATTTATAAAGATTTGGTGCTAGGATCCACAAATGAGGGAGAACATACATCTTTTGTTTTTCTGAATCTGAGTTACTTCACTTCGTATAACAATTTCTAGATCCATCCGTTTACTTGCAAATTTCATGATTTCATCTTTCTTTACTGCTGAATAGAACTCCATCGTATAAATGAACTACATTTTCATTATCCACTCGTCAACTGGGGGGCACTTTGGTTGCTTCCATCTCTTAGCTATTGTGAAAAGAGCAGCAACAAACATGGTTGTACAAGTGTCTCTGCAATAGGACGAGTCCTTTGGGTATATGCCAAGGAGTGGTATAACCGGGTCATATGGTAGGTTCAATTTTAGTTTTTCAAGAGTTCTCCACACTGTTTTCCAAAGAGGTTGCATAAGTTTGCAATCCCACCAGCAGTGAATGAGCATTCCCCTTTCTCCACATCTTCACCAGCATTTGGTATCATTTGTTCTCTTGATCCTAGTCAGTTTATTTTTTATTTGTGCTGAGGATTGTACCTAGGGACTCACACATGCCAAACATGCACTCTACCACTAAACTATATTCATAGCCTCAAGAAAATGTTTTATCACTTGTCAGCCCTTTGACTAAGATCAAATGAAGAGTTTATATTTTCAAAATGTTAAATATGGTGTTTGGGGGGAATGGTCGTTAATGCTTGGTTGTTAATGCTCGGTGTTGACTATCATGCTTTTGAGGAATATTAGCTAATTTCCTTATTGTCGAGATCAAATACCTGACAAGAAGCAAGTTAAGGGCAGAGGTTTTATTTTAGTTTACAGTTGAGTGGGATATAGCCCATCATGAGAAGGAAGGTATGGTAACAGGAGCTTGAGGTGGCTGGTCACATTTTATCTGTAATCAGAAGACAGAGAGAGATGATTACTGGCACTCAGTTGGCATTCTCCAGGAACCCCAGTTCCAGGATGGCACCACCCATATTCAGGGTATGTCTTCCCCCTTCAGTTCTGAGACTACCTTCATAGACATACCCAGAGGCGTGATTTCTAAATGCAGTAGGTTGACAATGAAGATTACCCATGGCAGCTGGCATCAAATGGTATTGTGGCAGCTGGTATTTGTTCCTGAGGGAACCTGGTTACATGGAGACTTTTACGTATCTTTTTTTGATCTTTGAGACAAGGTCTCCCTGTCTCAAAGGGAGAACTTGCTATGTTCCAGACCAGGCTGGCCTTGAACTCACAGAGATCCACCTGCCTCTGCCTCCCAAGTGCTGGGATTAAAGGCATGCACCAGCCACCACACCTGGCCATACATGAGATTTTTACAAAATACAAAATGTAGAATGTCACTCCCATATCCTTTTGTCTTTTGGGCAAAATCCAGATATCTAAGCATGGTCTTACTGGGTTGTTTAAAAGCCCAACTTTACTCGTTATTAGCCAAGTTGACTTTCCTACCATTTCTAAATATACAAGCCCTCCTTTCATATACCGCCCCTTCTGTCTCAGGTGCTCCACTCCAGCGAGCCTGACTCTTCTTCATCCTTCAGATCTGAGTTGAGAGTCTTTCCTCCAAGAAGCCTCCCCTGCACTTGCCTGGTAGGTTGTGTGTCCTCGTGTCCTATAGCTTTCAACCTTTGATGATGCAAACATTCATTGCCCTGTGCGGGAGCAATCTGTTTCTCCAGTTAGTCTGCAGGCTCTGTGAAATCAAGGACAACAGCTGTCTTGTTCACCTGGACATAACAGACAGATACCTAAATGTTGGTTAAATACACTTTTTTAAAAAATGAGACAATTAGTGGTCATTTAGTTCTCAAGGTGCACATGGAATAAATTGCTCGCTGTCCTAGGTGGGGTTCTGTGGACACGTGATGATCAGAAATCTTCAGGGACAGCAGGGGAATGGCATTCTTTTAAAGTTTGTATTAAGCAGGTACCAACACCTTCATGAGTTTAAATCCTTAGCTGTCTTCAGGAAATTTCATTTCCTCAAATCAAAGCTGTGAAAATCTGAGTATCTGTGCTTGTTAGTCGCAGTAATTTCTATGAACCCAAACATTTTTTAGTGACTCAGCAAGTTCACCTATCATTGTAACCCCTATTTTAAGAAAATCTGCTTTATGCATGGTTAAAGGACTTCAAAATAATTTGGGAGTCATTCCTAAGGGAAATAATTACAAGCTGTCCACGTCTTTTCTATCAAAAGAATGTTCACAGGAATGTAACCTTTGTAGTGCTATTTTATAACCTTCTCCACCTTATAAAACTTTATGTAGAGACTCTGCTGCATTCTGGGACTTGATGGCCCAGAGCAGCTAACCTCCTCTCCCTCCTTTCCTTTGCTCCAATTCCATTTCTGCTTAAAAGTCTATGAAGTCAGACTCAAGCCAATGGGAAACATACACAGTACCTTATGTTAGGATAAAAGCCTGTCAAACTTCCTGCCCAGTGTGCTTGCTATCTGAATAGAACAACTTCTGAACAGGTAAAGCTGCTTTGCTGAGTGTCTTTTGCTTTGTTTGTTGTGCCCTTTGTGCATTATCAGTGGGGTCTTTGAACCCCAAATTTTATTTCCAACAACTTGGGAGCTCATCTTGGATTCTAATTCCGTACGGGAAGACGTCCAGAACCCCAACTTTGGGGAGATGTGTACCATGGCCCTCTTGTGGCACCAAAGCTTGGGCATTTGGCATCTAAATAGGTTATGATGCCCAGATGAAAAATCTCTTTGCAACACAGGGGAGGGCCCAGGCAAGTACCACAACAATCGGTCAACTCTGTGCACAGACCATGGTAAACAGATTCATGGGGGTGGAGAGTGACATGATAATGACAAAGTCTTAGGGATGAGGGCATTATAGAGGTTGTGTGGGAGTGAATGAGACATGTAATTGAGTGTGAAGAGAGTGTGGAGTCCTGATCTGCAGTTCTAAGGGTATTAGGAAACCTCATTCAGCTTGCCAGCAGTCCAAGTCTCTAAATCCAGATAGGGGTTTTTATACTGGCCTGTCTAGTGCTAAGAGGCACCAGTTATGAGCACTGTCCCACAAGGGAATCAGGTGAAGACAGGCAAAGCAGCAGACTCAGAATGAAAGAAACCTCCTCCTTAACGATGGCGGGTTGAGCCTCTAAGGAACTCTCAATTTAGGGCTGTCTTGGGGAATAATCAGGCCAAACCAATCTCCAAGAAAAATAAAGAAACCAGTTCCCTCAGAGACAGCCCATTAGGACTTACACTTAAATATTGAAAGGCTAACAAAAGAACTAGAAACAAAAGGGAAACACATGTTGAAGTACTGAGTACTGCTATTTTATTTGGACCAAGGAACTGATCCTTAGAATTTTAGTTTCCCAGCAGGAATTGGGTCTGATGAGGTCTATGTCTGTCAGCTGTTTTTTGTTGTTGTTGTTTGTTAGTTTGTTTTTTGGTCTTTTGAAGTCTGGGTCTCTCCATGAATCTTCTTTAATCTCCAAAAAAAGAAAAAAAAAAAAAAAGAGCTAGGTCTCCCTGTAGCCCCCAGTGGACCTGGAACTCACTATGTAGACCAGGCTGGCCTTGAACACACAGAGATCTGCCTGCCTCTGAGTGCTGGGGTTAAAGGTGTGCTCTACCACACCTGGCCTGACAGCTCTTTTTAATTTAATTTTTATTTTATTTTATGCGTATGAGTGTATTGCTTGCATGTAGGTGGAGCACCTGTGTCATGCAATGTCTATAGAGATCAGAAGAGGGAATCAGATCCCCTGGAACTGGAGTTACAGATAGCTGTAGCCTCCATGTGAGTGCTGGGAATTGAGCCTGGGTCCTCTGCAAGAGCAGTCTGCACTCTTAACCACTGAGCCACCTCTCCAGACCCTGGATCTGTCAGCTCTTAACTGAATATGTTAAGGATAAGAGTTCAGTCTCCCAGGAGGAAACTGACTATGTCCTCTGTTGCAAGAAAGGTCCTTTACTCAATAAGGACACAACCCAAAGAAAATAAAACTAAGACAGAGTTTCCTAAATGGGACCCCCCTCAACTCTTTGTCTCAATCCCCCTTCTCACCCTAGCCAACGCCTGCCTGATCCAAATGATCAAGCTGCTAGGGGCCCCACTCCTCAACTGGCTTCTCAAGTGGAAATTCCAGCTCCTTTTTGCTGGACTGACTGACCAGATAGCAGGGGAACCAATAACTCTGGCCAGATCAGAGACCTCCCTACCCCACTCATTATACCCCACCCTTCCTCATTCAATGAGGGAAACTGAACAACGTGAGAAAAATCTCCAAAATAGCCCCTTCAGCTCCCTGGGAGAAGCCCCAGATCTTGTTTCCTCTCAAAGAAGTTCCTCCTGGAGGGGGAAGAATTGGGTTTGTTAATGCTAGTAGTGAAGTCAGAAATCTAAAAAGGAAGTTTAAGCCCATATTGGAAGACCTCTTTGGAACAGCAGGGCAATTAATTCCATTTTTAGAGCCCCAGCTTTATACTTAGGCTGAATTTAGAAAGGATGATGAGCAGGATGATGATTGGGTGGGCCACAGTGACCATCTGGTAGCAGGGCTATCCAGCAGGTCAAGGAGTCCATGCCACAGAAGTTAAATTGCCCAATCAGGACCCACAGTGGGACAGTAATAATGCAGCCTATTGAGCACATGAGGGCCCTAACAGTCTTGATTGGGATAAAGGACTCAGTTCCTCAGTCTTAGGATATCAATAAAGCTTTTAATATCCAAAAGGAAGAGATGAAGGCCCAACTGAATTTTTTGGTAGGCTAAAGAACCAAATGAAAAGATATTCTGTGTTAAACCTGGAGGATCCCCTTGGCCGAGGAATGTTTACAAGTTTGGGAACAAAAACTGGCCAGATATTTCTAAGAAATATATATGAAAAGATAAAGAATTAGAGAAATTACTCAGAGGTTCAAAACGTAGGTAAGGAGGGGTGAGGAGAAACAGAAGCAAAAGGGCCAGGATGGCGCTACTGTGGGTGACTTCTCAAGGAAAGAACAGACCCTAGTTCTACAGGCCCCACATCTTCCCACCAGGACATCTGAAGGGAGGATCAGTGCGAAACAGGCCTGTAAATAGGTGAGACATTAAATGCTACCAATGTGAAAAGAGAATTCTCCGCGTAGAAAAAGAAAAAAGTGGTTCCCCTCATGACGACTAGTCAGTGAGGAATAGGGATGGTCAGGGGCTCTTCATGTTGGTAGACCCTGCAAGAGCCCCTAGTAAACATAACAGGGGACCCAAGGCAGGAAAAAACAGTCTTTTTGGTTGACTTTGGCCCAGGCAGATCCTGTCTTTAGGTACAACCTCTGGACTCAAATTCTCACAGAAAAGCTATGCATCTCAGGCATAAAGGGGGAGAGATTCTTGGCCCCTGCTTTTGAAGATACGAGAGCATCATTTCAGAAAAGGTTCACTAAGATAAGGATCCTATTTGTACCCAAGACTAGAGTCAGCCTTTTGGGAAGGAATTTAATGTCTATACTAGACATGAGCTTTACCAAAGCCAAAAAGCAGATACAGGTCTCCCTAAATCTCTTAACTCCACAAACAAAAAAATGTACTCTCCCTACAATCTGGAGGCAGCCAGGTGTGGTGGTACGTGCCTTTAATCCTAACACTCTGGAGGCAGAGGCAGGTGGATCTCTGTGAGACTGAGGCTAGTATGGTTAACATAGTGAGTTCCAGGCCAGCTGGTGCTACTGGGAAACCCTGAAAGAAAGAGAGAGACAGACAGACAGGAGAGAGAGAGAGAGAACCAAGGAGGCCTAAAGATTCTTCCACCCCGAATTCGTATCACCCTAAAACTCCAGGAGACATAGTAAGAAGGCAATATTCATCTCCTTACAAGGGAGGTTAGCAATAAAACCTGTTGTTAAATGACTGATAGAAGATGGTCTCCTCAAGCCTGGTATATTCCTTTATAACACCCCAATCCTACTGGTGAAAAAGGCTGATGGATCTTACAGGTTGGTCCAAACCTTAGGGCAATCAATCAAATTGAGCAGAACAGACATCCTGTGGTACCCAACCTCTACACTCTCCTCAAGATTCCATATGACCTTGGCTGTTTGAGTGCTGTAGAGCTAGAAGATGCATCTTGCGCTTGTCCTAGAAACAAGGACCGTTGAAACCTCTTTGCCTTTGAATAGGAAGATTCACAGATAGATAGGAAGGAGTGAGGTTGGTATACAGTTCTTCCAACCAGGATACAAGGTCGAGCTCACCTGAGAAAGACTGTTAGGTGCTGGGGCTGCAGTTGGAGTGACTGAGAACAATTACATTGTACCCTAGTGAAAAAAAAAGACCTTTGACAATATCCAGGGAAAAATGGACAGCACTACCTAGTGAAACCCCTTAAAAGTAAAATTAGGAGCTGCAGAGATGGCTCAGCAGTTAAGAGCACTGTCTGCTCTGCAGAGGACCCAGGTTCTATTCCCAGCACCCACATGGCAGCTAACAGCCATCTATCACTCCAGTTACAGGGGATCTGATGCCGTCTTCTGACCTCCGCTGGCACTGCACAACACAGGTGTATTTACATGCAGGCAATACACTCATACACATAAAATAAAAATAATAAACGAAATGTTTTTTAAAGTAAAACT